CTTTTTACTTTAATTTCTAGATTCATCTATTCTCTAAGCAAAACAAACAGAACAGAAGGGTGTTGAGAAAAAAGATAGATATCAATAATACCGTGTCGGTGGTGATATCGAAGAGGCTAGATCTACGGCGGCGGCGATTGAGATTGTTTCGCCGGAGAAAGTATTTCTGAGCATGACTCGCCACTTGTGTTGGCGTCCGAGTCTTAACGAAGTTTCTAGAAATCCCTCTCCAATCTCCCTTCCCTACTTTTTGCAATCCTAACAGAAACAGCTTGTGCTCTTCCTCCGTCCACGGAACCCCTAAATTTCATTAAGAGAATCGAAAGATCAAAATAAAAAATTTATAAAGCGAAAGACGAAAATAAAGATTCATTTTTCATAGAAGAACAAAAAAACCTCGTTTGCGCTCCCGATTTCCGGTGGATTGAGGAACGGCGTCGTCGGCGGAGGCGTAACAGGCGGTGCCGTTGTCATCTCCTTTATTGTTATTATTGTTGTTGCTTTTTTCGTTAATTCTGTTACCACTGTTGGATGCATGAGGCTGTTCATATTGAGAAAGATTGTTCATACTGACACTTTTCCTCATGGAATCAACCACCACTCGGACTCCGAAAAGCATGATCTCTCCTCCTCCACTGCTGCCGCCGTTGGCAGTGGAGTTCGCGGCGGATGAAGAGGCCGAGGCGCACGTGGAAGCCGGCATCCTCTTCTTCTCTTCCAATTTCCTCTGTCAAGGAATCTGTGGCCGTACGATTAAAGAGAAAATACAGAAGAAAGCGTAAGAAATTGCAAAAAACAAACACAGCGGCGTCTAGTGGAGAATATATATATATATATATAAGGCAACGACAAGGGTGAGGTGGCAACACGTTGTGGAAACTGTTTTCGATGTGCGGGAATATACGTGGCGTTAAATGGTTGGTGAGTCTGTCTTATATGTTTGCTATCCTGTCGGTTTATCAAATCTCTCAAAAGATAATGGGGACTCGAAGGGCTTTGTTAAGGTACTTCGCGGTTACATTCTGCGCAATGATGCAACAGGCGACGTTGTAAAATTAGATTTCGTGTTAGTTAATTAATTAATTAGACATTTCCTCAAATTTCGGATTTGATAGTTCAAGTCCTCTAATTTTGTTTTTATTCTTCTGTTTACTTAAGACATTAATATTATCAGTCAAACAGCTTACGTATTTAAAATATTAAAAAAAATTACAAAACCTAACATGTTAATATGGTATTTTCTTAAACACATAATATATTTTCATTGATTATTTTTATAAATTTTATTTGTATGACAAAAGGTATTAATTTTTCTATAAATTGATGGAAAAAATAAAATTTGAATAATTAAATGCCAAAGTATTTTTAAATATCAAATAGAGAATTTTAAACTTTAGTTCACGTACCAAATATGATAATAATCCTTATCTCTTGTCTCTTTTTTTCTAATTGTTCTTTTCTCTTAATATATATTTCGTATTAGTCTTACTTTATTGGCCCCAAATCCCATCTCTTTTTCGTTTTCACGTCAATTATTTTAACTTTTAAAAAACTTTTCAACATTATAAAGTAAAACATATAAATTGAAGGCGATATATAGCCACATAAAAATCGAAAGGTGTCATGTAAATTTTTTATATTAAAATTTTGTTTATAGTGATTTTATGTTGTAGATACTTTATTTTGGCTTTTGTTTTCTCAAATATAATTCCAAGAGAGGATGAATTATAATTTTTGAAACTTTTTGCAAATTGATAATTGTAAGAGTGCAATAACTTGAAAACCTTTGCAACTTGAAATTACTCTTGTAAAACTTGATTTTCTGCAAATAAAAATTAAGAGTAAGAAAAGAAACTTGCACAGAGTTTTATAAAGGTTCGGCCATTTGCTTACGTTCTCTTCCTTAGCAAGTTAAGGAGTTTCAAATTCACTAAAGAATAAATGCCTTTTTAAGGTGCTAGCATATATTTTACAACAACTTTTTTCAAAAAAAGGTTTAACCCCTCTACCTTTTCACAATTGTTAAAGTATAACCGCAACTACCTTTTAATGATCAAGGTATAACCTCTCTCAATGTGTTATAAAAAAAGAAGTACAAGTTAAGATACCTCCTTAAGGTTCGTAAACTCATTAAGAGAAAAGATTTTAAAAGTAAATGATGAGTATTGAAAGAATTTCAGCCCAATGAATACAAGGCTTTGAGGATTATAAAGACTAGAGAGAGAATAAAGATGTATTTAATGCTTAAAGCTTGCTCTTCTCTTGATCTTTGTGTTTTCAGAGTCTTCCCTTATCATAAATGTGGTGGGAACCTTCAATTTTTAATGGGTAAGCTTGCTAGAGCCATTAAAATGCATTTAATGGCAAATTGTGTCGTTTGCTACTTGGTACTTGTGCTCAACAATCACTAGGTATCAATACTTTTGGCCAAGTATCAATACCTTTGTTGCTAGAAATTCAAATACTGCATGCAGGTATTGATACTTCTATAGGCAGTATCGATACTTTGCCTAGCAAAAGCATTTTGTTTAAAATATATCGATACTTTTGTACCAAGTATCGATACTTATAGGTTAACAGTTTGATTTTTGACTTTTTCTTTCAAATGTATCAATACTTTATTCAGAGGTATCAATACTTGCATGAATGTATCGATATCTCATTCAATGGTATTGATACTTTCAACCAAAAACTAGATTTTAAAGTGTTTGAACTCATTTTCTTGCTTAAATGCTTAGCCATTTCAATTTAAATTGTCAAGGGGTTTTTATTCTTGTTCAAAAACATATTTAAGCAACTTTGAATATCAAAACTTAAGATCAATTGTAAAGCTAACAACTACTAACTTAATATTGCTTCAAGAATTGTTGTATAGCAAGTATAATGCTATACAAGAGTAATGAAATAAGTAAAATAAGTGGAACAATTACAGCACTCAAGTAGCCGTGAAAGTAATTTAAAACAAGTTGTAGGGTTCACGAGTTAGTTTCACCTAGAGATGTTTTAGAGAATTTGCCTTGGTAGTTTAGATATTGAGATAGTTAAAAGATCTTTCTCTTAACCTTTTTCTAAAATACTAGTGTTTCTCCCTCTCATTATTTCCTCTTACTTGTTCTCTTTTACAATTTTTCTCATATCTTTTTCCCTTCTAACTTTTACTCAAGTGTAAGTCTTATACGATATTAATGATCACTTGTTAGAAAAAGCTTATTACTTCAATGGTTATGCAATGGCTTTAAGTAATTGTTACAACCAAACTTTTTCTAGTAGCTGCTACCTATTATGTACTATAAAGCTCTTTTTAGTACTATTACTTATTATATGCATTAAGTTTGTTCTTGAACAACTATTTCTTTTGGCTATATATATAGAGCTTTGAAGAATCATTTTGGGCAGAATAAGATTTCTTGAGCAAAGACATACATTTTTACTTGTATCTTTCTCTTTATATATATATATATATATATAAATTCTCTCACATTCACTTACTCTTTCCTTCTTTATATATAAGTTTTTTCATATTCTCTTACACTTGACCCTTTTTCACCCCATTCTCAACCTTATTTTGTCGCTTATTTGTTCTTTTCCACTTGACATAGCACTCACTAATTCAGGAATTTCTCTAATCTTCCTCTTTGTTGCCTCTAACACATCATTTTACTTTTTTTCGACACTTCCTTTCTCCTTATCATAAGAACACTTCTATATTTTGATGCCTCCGCTAAGGAGAAGCCTTGCATTAAGTAATATCATATTAGAAAAACTTGTATTATTGAAAGTGATGGATAGTTCAACTTGCAACCAAGATGCACTTGTTCTCACCTACATCAAAAACCTGATGAAAATGATTGAAGCTTTTCAAGAGAGGATGTAAACATTGGAAGATAACAATAGGCGAATGAGGGAGACCATATCCTAAATTGTATTTTCTATTACCATCATTTCTTAAACTTAAACCATGCAATTTAATGGTAATGATTATACACTTGATAGAGACATTCCTATAATTGTTAACACAAATGGCAATAGACGAAATGGAGAAAATACTTTCTTGCACTAGAAATTCTAATGCGTCTAATTCGCTTGTGGTGGTTACACCAGTTACTATCTTTACTATAGTGATCCTACTAGTAACTACTCAAGGTCTTATGATAAAAGAAAAACTCTAGACGCTACTTGATCAGTAGAATAAGAGCTTGAATTTTTTTGAATTTGATCTTAAGTTACCCCACCTAACTAGGGTAGCCACTAAGCAATATCCTAAAGACTACATTAGCCCTAAGTTTAAGCAATTCGATGTAAGACTTGGGATGCACAAGAACATGTTATGAAGTTTATGGAAACTGTAGAGTAATGGGATTAGATGGCAATTTGAAGTTTAAGTTGTTCTCTAAGTCACTGGTTCAGTGCCGAAGCCATTGGCACAGAAATCAAATCATGCTCAGTGTCGAAGCCACTAACAGAGAAATCAAATCACACTCAATGCTAAAGCAACTAGTGGAGGAATCAAATCACACTTAGAGTTGAAGCATTCGATTGAAAACAAATCAAGACGACGTCGAAGCAATGACGAAGAATCAAATCACAGGGATAAGACTCCACTTTACCTCAAATCAAATAAATGTTCAAAATTTCTTATCATTGAACAAATTATATACCCACAATCAAGGCCATCATGCCGTTGTTATCACATACATACCATTTCACATAAAAAATCGTACTTAATGAGCTTCGGATACTAACTAGGTCAATATCATTTCAATACGCCTTTGATCACCCAAGATATCAAACACTCATAATCCTCCAATAGGCTATTTGTCTTGGGTACACTACTCTCAGACATGTATCATAATATCACATTATTCACATAGGTATACCTCCTAGTTTAGGTTCCAAATGCATGCCACTATATAGCTTGCACTAAAGCACACATACACATTCACATATAATTTATTTACTAGCCTAAGCACATTTATCTAGGCATTTAAATATCATTCAAGTACCATAGCAGTGCATTAACAATGCGTTATGCATCACATGCATTAATTTAAACAATAAACCCACTCACAGTGATAAGTAAAAGCTCCTTCATAGCCAAACCCAAACTTTCCTTGCCTCTAACGACTCTCTAACTCATTAGCATGCTAATAGCTTTATTTTCCCTATGAACAAATCAAAATAATAATTATTTCTCAACTTTAGAAAATTCCCAAAATTTCAAACTAGGTCTGGTTTCAATTACTCATAGTTGTGAAAACCTAGTTTTTAGATTCTTAGTTCAAGATGAGTAAATCCTTACCTTAGGTGTTGAGTTACTCAATCTCAACTTTCAATTCCTAGAAAAGTCAAAGGGAAGTATCACCAAAGCTGGAGCAAATGGATTTCAAAGTTATAAACCATTTAAATCATAGTTCAATTGGTAAAACAATTTGATTTTACCTCAATAGTGATTTTTCAAGCTCTAATCTACTTTCCTCAAGCTCCAAAATCTAGTTGAGAATAAGGTTTCAAAGGGGTTGAGAGTAGGGAGAGTTTTTCTTTTGTTTTCAAATGGGCAAACTGCCCAATGCTCTTTTTATATTTGCAAATATATAGGGATATATCGATAAATTTTCACAGATTTCCCTTAAATCTATCAATACACGAGGTGATATATCGATAGAAATCAAACAAAATGCTCTATGCCTTAAATGTATTGATAGATTAAGAAATCTATTGATACAAATTCCACAGAATGTCCCCTCTTCACCAATCTATTGATACATTAAGTCAATGTATTTGCAAAACTTATGCAGAATGTCCCCCTTGTTCAAATCTA